CTGGAAGTTCATGATGACGGCGGCTTTGGTAGCTCCGTTGCGGAGGTCTTGGAAGGTCTCCATTTCCCCAGCCACGCCGCGCCGATGCCACGCCGGCCGAGTCGGGTCCCGGGCCACGCACCACATACCTTAGTCAGGCACCTTTACCGCCATTTTCGTGACGACGTTCCATCCCGAGCTCATAAGCATGTGGCGCATATGGGTTTAGTCCATACCTTAGTCCTGCACTTCTGCACGTCAGACTCCTCACCTCGTCCCACTTTGTGGGCAGCATGGAATTGTTGCCGGGTCCCAGCTTCGACGGCGCAAGGAAAATTGTTTCATTTGTGATAGTTGCCTTATATAGGCCTCCCAGCCGCCTTTCAAGCCTTTTGATACGACTTCATCCCCCTTTTCTTGTCCGGGGTCCCTCCTACGTGGCTCACTCACCACCGTTCGTTATCTTCAGACCGCTGCATCGAGGTTACAAACAGGCTATAACCCGCATACGCATATATCTCTTGCGCCTGCTTTGCTTGTCGGGCGGGATGAGGCTGCTTTTGGGTAGCGAAGCGTTTAGTTGGCTTCAGACCGTACCAAGAGCCGAGAAACTGGGAGGCAGGTACCATGCTAGCTTGCTTGTGCCTGAACGTGGGCAGCTGCCTGAGCAGCCTGAATGGGCAATTCCCTTGACCGTCGTTTCATGCTGGCAAAGCTCAAGTGTGTGTTCGACGGCCTCCAAAGAGGAAGCAATCAAGGCACCTGGCGGGCTTCAAATCGAATCGTCCGAGATGTTTGCCCTGCTGGATAATGACAGGTACCCGTCTGTTTCCTGATAAGTCATTTACTAACGGCAACAGGTTTCGGGCTTGGTAATACAAACACAAACCCACATACGACCTACATTAAGTACGTGAAGCATGTCTCAAGACGGAAGGACGACAACGAATATGTCTCAGGCGCGAATATGCCAGCGAAGAACGATCAACGTCTCAATGTACACATTGTGCTCCCGGGTTACCTCGTCAACTCGTTTACACCCTTTCCAGTTTGCGCTTCGTGGAAATCATGGAAGACGACTAGTCAGTTCGTCCATCCAGACTGGGCTCGAGATAGCCGTCCACGCGCACACGCCCGCGTGCTGTACTACGTCGTCACGGATATGTCCGATGACTCCTACTTCACAAGTCAAAGGGAGAATTGGGAAAATAGCGATGTCGTGCCTCGGTGACAGTCCTACCGACCACAAAAGCTTACACCCACCCAGATTCATGGAGTTTCACCGTCCACCACACCTTGCCAGCTAGCAATTCTGCCAGCTAAGCTATCGAGCTAGTGTTCTCTGCTCGCCTTACCTGAGCAATTGGCCAACGAGACGAAACGCGCAAGTCCTGGGAAACACAGGGCGAATCCTCCACACTCCTCCCGAGACATTTCCGGCGGATCTGCCCATCCCGTTAGTCGTGTTGGCTGATTTCCAAGCTACTAGCATGGTTGTTGACGTCTTCCATGGCTTCATCGTCCAATTCCTCATCTTCCACGGTCTACGTGGACTAGTACCTTCATTGTGCCAGCTGACAAGAGTTGTTACTCTCACGAACACGCAGCTCACACCGCTTCAGAAATGTCAAGAAGGACAAGAGCAGATGTGCTAAAAGTTGTGAAATCTCAGAGCTAGCTAAGTAGCAAGCTAGAAAACCGCGTGGACGGAGAGTCACAGTGGTACTCCGTGTCTGCTTTGCTGCTGTGTCGTCATGTAGCTACGTGTAGCTACGTGTGTGCTACGTACACATCATCGGGAACACAACAGCATTTGTCTAGCTTTGGGGAGTTCGGGTAAGTTTGGACCCGGCCGGGAGGTTTGACGGGGCTTGGTGGGGCTTGACGGGGTTGGAGCTATGGGGTGACGGCGAAGGCAAGTTGGGGAAGTCGGAGGGGCAGGTAGGGACAGGGTGGTGTTGAGAAGGGCGCCAAAGAGAGTTTGCCGAGGTTCAGTCACTGGAGGTCTGAGAGCTTTCGATGTCTCACGAGTTCTACGGGTCACAATGTCCGAACTCCGGTGTTGGTGTTTTGGTGGTAAGGGTGTTTTGGTGGTAAGGTTGTGGTACAGTTTACTTGGTGAGTCTGTATCTCACTGGGAGAAATGAAGAATATGGAAGGAAAGCGGAGAGAAAAAACGAGAACCTGTGAAAACCGGCAGGGAGCATTTTCTCAGCGGGACTGAGAACGTCAAGAAACAATTAAAAACGAAGAAAAAAAGAAGAGAACTTCACATATGCGGAAAAAAAGATCCATGATTTGGCAAGAAAGTCCGGTAATTATTCACACAGAATGGTACCGAAGAGGACAAGCCACAAAACATGGGGAGAATGGCAGGAAAGGGGACATTTACATATCATAGAATCATCCACGTTCATCAGAAGGGGCTGAAACGCAGCTCATGCCATGCAAGTGTCCCAGGCCTAAACAAACATATGTACATTGTAGATATATATGAAATGAAAAATCAAAAACAGAGACTGGCGGATTCAGGGCCAATAGGGGGAATGTCTAGTCCTAATAGTCCGGGCTCTTGACGAGAAAAATAGGGAGTGTCAAGGCAGAATGTTGAAAATAAGGGGATCCTTAAAATGTCAAAACGGATGGAGAAAAAGGGACATAGAAAAAGGAAAGGGAATAAACTTGGGAGAAAAAAGGAAGGGAAAAGAAGGGAACTAACAAGCAATGACGACTTTGAGTCAGGCAATATACCTTATATTTCCATGCACTACGCAACAAAACACAAGGAATTTAGGAGAAAATGTCTGGTATGCGACAACACTCGCCGAGAAACGAAAAGCCGAACAGACGACACAACTGAGAAACCATTTTAGAACGAATTGGATGGAAATTGAAGGACAAGTGATTCCTGACCGGATCACGGGGAGAAAATACCAGAAGCTTTTTTCAGAGGAAGGATAGGAGCAAAGCGAAAATTTTGTAGCAGAAACGTGGCAAATAAAAGCGGCAGACAGATGGTAATCAGACTAGGTGCATGTACTAGAAACAGGTAGATAGTATATCCCGCTTTGGGGAAGAGTCTGCAAATTCGGTGGGCAATGTCAAGCGTACGGAAAGTGTCTGCCAACCCAAGGGAAAACATCCGAACAATGTACATAAACATTTGGGAAGATATATGGAAATAAATATCTTCAAAGTACCTTTACAGCTCTACTCTATATGCATCGTATATTTCCATACTCCCATCACTAGAAGTCTAGCACGGAGGCCCGGAGTCAGACAACCTGGCCGTTCCGCTTTTCTAAGTCTAATACCCTACCAGTTACCTAGTCTAGACGGGAGGTAGTCCTCGTCCTGACCTCCTAGGTTTAATATGTTTATAAGTAAGATAAAGCGTCTTTCAATTTTTGACGATGATTTCTTCTGCCTTTTCTTCTGCCTTTTCTTCTGCCTTTTCTTCTGCCTTGTCTTCTGCCTTGTCTTCTACCTTTTATTCTTCTTATGTTCTTTTTCTCTTGTTGCAACATGACCTTTTCACCGCCAGTTGTTATCTCCAAATCGAGTGTCTGTGTTCGTTGTCAACTACCGCTTCTGTCAATGGTTACCTGGCGTAACTAAGCCAGGGGACACGGTTCTGACTCCGATTCTACCTAATCTTGAACTTGACTCGGACCTAAAACTTGACACTGGTTAATCATCATCTTCTCCTGCGTCATGCTAACCGCCAACCGAGGCCGGGGCCGAAAAATAGAAGCGGAGCTAGGCCGGACCGGTGCGGGAATAGTTTTCCTTGTCTTTGCTACATATTGATCTCACGTCCGTACCTTTGTTGCGTATGGTTCTCTCTCTCCGGGACGCCTGTTCACCTGGTCGGCATCAAAGATCGTTACGCTTGCGCGTGTGTATGTATGTCTGTATGCAAACATCGGCCAAACGGAACAATAAGGTGCAGCGTGGCAACTATTCATTGTATGAAAAGAACCATGAATGCTAGCTATAAACATTGATATACCAAGACAACGAAAGCAGACAACCCGCCCAATACGCTCGACAATGATTGTTGGTACAGAGCATGCAAGTAGTCCCATAACAAATAATCCAGATACTGCACGCATCCCTTTTCGTGTTCCCTTTTGTCCCTTTTCCCTGTTCCTTTCCCATGCTTTTCATCTTGCCCTCGTACTCTCATCATGCAGTTCCTTGAAGAGTCCGTCCCTCCGGTCATGGAACACCACCGAATAATCACCGCAATCGCGTCTGCCTCATTCACTCCCATGTACATCTCGGCTCTATCGAGCAGACTGTATCTCCTTCCCCTCAGTCACCGATACCACCAACTTCCAGTCGACCCCTCCTCTCCCGTCTCAATCCATCCAGTTGCATCTGTATGCTATGCATGAAGCATTCAATGCCATCTCCATCCGGCAGCATAACTGTCAAATACGCAAGTGACAGAACGGCGACGACAATGATGATAGGCCAAAAAATGCCTTTTTTCCCCATCCACTCATCAACCCAGCCCGCAGTCGGCCGGCAGCGACCGGTTAAAGACGTTGGGCAAAGCCGCAGGTCATAAAGATATGAGGGGATAAAGATGAATGGAGATGAATGGAAGCTGCGGGAGCTACAGAAACGGTCGCAATATGTGACCAAGATGAGTGACGTTGATCAACAGGATTGGCCGAAGTGCCCCCCTGGCGGGGTGAGATGCGTGATGATGTGATGAGATTGAGTAGGCCGCAGGTATGGCCGCATGAGGGAATTGAGGCCTGAGCCCCTCTTGCCCTTCCTCACCCGCGTCCTCTCCTGGCTCGGCCTTCCGCTCCGCCTCTTCCCGCCAACCTGTCATTTATTCCGCGAGAAGCGGGACAAGATGGGTAGCGGGACATGAACATGTTGGGCTGTCAACATGTCAAGCCGGCATGCACTGGGCTACCAACAGCCCAAGTTCCGAATGCCGACAGATCCCCGTAGAGGCTGATATGCAAACACTCGAACAGGCTAGCAACGGCTCACCTCACTCACTGTCCCTTGCCAAACCTCATATCGAAGCCCTTCAGCACCGCCATGATACTTGCAGCCTCGACTTCGATCGGCGCCCACGCTTTGCCCGTCGATGATTGCTGCATACTCACGCTTCCCCTATATGGCGGAGGGTTGGCAGGCACTGCCCTAAGCTTGGGCAGCCATGAGCCAATGTCATCCGCCGCTTCCTCGAAGTGCCGGTGAGAGGCAATGGTCTTGTAAGCCTCGGCGCAGGGGATGGAGAGTCCAAAATTACTGGCAGTGCCATTGTTGGAGGAAGACGACGAAGAAGAGAAGGGGTTGGATGGTGTGGGAGCAGGCAGTTGATTGATGTTCTTGTAGCGGTTGAGGTTGATGGGAACAACGACGTCTTCGTCGTCATCGGGCTTCTCAGTCTTGCAGCATCCGCCACCAGGGCCGCCACCGCCGCAGCACCCAGACGGGGGAGTGGCGCTACTGCTTTCGCCGTTCTGTTGCCTGTTCCGCTCAAAGTTGGCTGCGAGGGAGCGGCAAAAGAGGCCGGACTTGGGATCCGCTAGACACTGGGCGCAAGTACCGGGACCGCCGGGACCACAGCCACCGATCTTAACGGGCGGCTTAGATTGGGCGTCATTGCTGGCGCGGTTGAGAGAACCAAAGCTAGGTAGCTTGACCGCACCCGTTGCAGTGATTTCCATAGGCATGGGGACGACATCGTTCTCCGATGGCGGCGGTGTATGCATCTGGACTTGCTGAACGACGGAGGCCACGGTCATGGAGGCAGCTGAGAGGGCCATGGATTCCGCGCACACGCAGTAGGTGCCATCCTTGCAGAATCCGCAAGAGTCCTGCATTTCGACGGAGACCATGGGATGTGACTGAGGCTGTTGCTGTTGCTGAACAGGAGCTGGCAGAGGAGTCATATCTGGTACCGTTGTCTCAGGCTTCTTAGCGAACAAGGCAGTAAAGTCTGTTGCCAACTCATCACTCTCAACGCCAGCATCAGATCGCTGCCTCTTCTCATCAGGACCCATCTCGGGCGAGCTGGGAGGTAGTGGCCTCTTGAGGTCAGCAGCCGCAAGAACCCGGATGGACTCCTCTAGACAGGCGCATCTTCCTTCAGGAGTGCATCCGCCGCAACCCATCAAGACATTGGAACTTTGCAGAAGCTCATCGGCACAGGCACATGGGCCACTGCTCTGGCAGCTACCGCAAGTGACGTCTAGCGGAGACTGGGGAACCTCCTCGGGTGGTGAGATGATTTGGGAAATAGAGAAGGGCTGGGCAGTTGGTCGTGGCTCTGCAATAGGAACGGAGTCTACCTTGGGCGCAAGCTGAGTCTGTTGCGTGGATTGTTGCTGTTGCTGTAGATTATAGCCGTTGGACTGTTGTGGTAGGATGGACTGCTGCGGCGACATGTTGTCCCAAGAATTCCTCAGCGAATTGCGAGCCTGCTTCTCCTTCTCCAACATGTCCTCCAACCAGCGGCATCGTGACTGCAGGGTCTGTACCTCGACTTCGAAATGGCTGATGCGACCCTGCAGCTCCCTTACAACACGGTCATGCTCCTCCTTTTGCTCCTCCAGCTGGTCCTCCAACTCGCCGACGCGGGCGGCCCGGCGCTCTCGGAAAGCCCTCTGGGCAGCGCGGTTCTGTGCCTTGCGCTTAGTAGGGGGAGTGTCGGTGGCAGGCTTACGTCCAGGCTTTGGTCGGGGAGGGATGACCCATTCCTTGCTGGTCATGCTCAAAGGACCTCCTCCCCCAGGAGTAGGGCAGTCGACGGGTGACATGGCACCTCCTTGGCTAGATACGGAGGCGGCTCTGATGGGGGCAGGTCTGGGTGCGACACTGGGACGGGGCGCAATGGGAGGCACGCCAGTGAGGTTGGTGTTGGTGATGGAAGTCGATGATGCCGGAGTGGAGACACCACAGCTTGAGGCTGGAGAGGGGGCCGAAGAGGCAGGGGTCGAGACGGCACTCGGAGAATCCCGCTTAGCAAAGGTGGCTGCTGTGGTTGTTGATGATGATGATGATGATGATGATGATGATGATGATGATGCTGCCTGCTGTAGGGCTGATAGGTCCATATCAGATTGGAGATGTTGATGTTGTTGATGATGATGTTGCACTTGATGCTCAATGGACATGGACACCGAGGTCATCTGACTGGCCATGGGGGGAGCAGCGGCAGAAGTGACAGCCGCCATCGCAGTGTTGCCGTCGCTACTGATTGAATAAAGATCGATGTTGCACAAAGGACGGGAACCGAGGTGCCAACCGAGTGAGCCAACCAAGGAACAGACCGCTGAGAGGAGGATCTGATAAGATGGCGTGTGATTTGGATGGAATTCGTTGGTGGATTGGACCGTGGGATTGTGGTTCCGGTGTTCGGTCGGTCGGTCGGTCGGCCGGGGGCAGGCGGTAGGTTTTTAATGTCGCAAGGGCGCAGGGGGTGGACACTGGAGAACAGTGGGCGGAACAGTGGGCGGAACAGTGGGCTGAACAGTGGATTGGGTTGCTGGCCGTTGGCGCTGTCTTCTTTTTTCTGGGGCGCTGAGCCGAAGCCGAGAAAAACGTGGGCAATTGTCCACTCTTGTCCGACTGCCGAAATCTGAAAAGAATACGGTGAACGCCGTTGTCCAACTTGACAATTGAAGATGGAAACAATTGGTTGGAGATTGATCCGAGATAAAGATTGGGTGTCGTATAAGACGAATGGTGAAAGCCGACAAGACGGAATGACGCAGTGTAGGTACGGTATGCTCGGTCCCTCGTGTGGCAGTTGCTGCGTGGTGTGGGTAGCGTGTGTGCGCTTGGACCGATGCAGTGTCAGTTCGTATGTGTTTTTGACTTTGTTGTTGTCCGCGAGAATCCGAAGCAACTGATTCTTGGAGTTTGTTGTAGGGAAACAATTCAAGGACAAGAATCTTCTCGGACAATGAGGGGTCGTCGATTTCTTTTTGGCAACAACGACGCACGCGACTGCGGAAAATTTGCAGGCGGGAATGATCCGACACACGGAAGGAGCGACTGAATGTGCTTCTATTGGGAGTGCAGTGTTCTGGCGTGTTTTGCTAGGGTCTTTCGGATCCAAGCGAATTCCGGTCCCAGTCTCGCCCACAAAATGAGGGCTCTCACCTCTTTGATTCGATGGCTTGTGAAGTTGATGCCCTGGTTGCCTGGCTCACCTGGCTGACGAAAGGAACAAAAGGCCGGACAGTCTTGACAGAAGTGCTCCACTGATTGATTGATAAGATTACAACAAATGCGCTAGTACAATCGCAGAATAGTGGCAGTCGCTAGAACCACTTGTGCGTCACGAAAGAGTGGGGAAGCGTCGTGGTGAGCGGGGATGGGCTTGTGCCTGTCCCGGTCCGCTGTCTTTCAACCTGTCAACGGATCAAAGAACGGAAGCTTGGAAGATGCTCAAGATGCCATTTTCCACTGTATGATGCCTTGGTTTTGAGGCCAAATTGATACGTCGATCCTGTGCATCTCTTACTACCGAGCCAATACTTCGGAATTACGACAGGCTGCCACCGTCTATCTCCTCACCGTTGGCGATCAGGGTTGCAAGCCATGTCGGCTGACGAAGGCGGTCTCCATGCTGGGCAAGGGAAAGGGAAGAAAGAGCCGTGAATGAGTCAACCGACCTATTAATTGAGTAATACCTTCTCATTTCGCCCTTGGCGTAAAGTCAGAGTTGGATGTTGTCCACGGCGCAGAAGAAGTGTTTTGCTAAGGTGCCATCGAGGCCCTATTCCCAAAAACTGTGAAAGATGGAATAGCAGTCTGAAGTTGAATATTTCCGTCTTCAAGCAAGCAGGGTACCGGACCGTGTGTTCGAGTTGTTCTGGAGTAAACCGCTCACACAATTTATCAGATCCTTCTTTGCCAGGGGTGTCCACGTTGTTATTTTGTGGTGTCTGCGAGTTCATCAAAAGACAGCATATGCTTTTTGCAAAGTCCCCATCAACACAAATGAACATGATGGGTTTTCCACATGTTGATAACTTGATCACAGCTCATAGACATAGGACAATGGAAGTGCTTCTTGTAATTTTTGCAAAAATTGCACGCATCAACTGGGCTTGAAGACCAAAAATCACATTCTTTCATCTCATATTTCCCCATCACGACCCGTGGTGTTGTGGTCAAGGACCCCTAGCACACTTCACCCCTCCTGCATGAGGGACCCAATGCCAAGAGAAATTATCAGATCTGCCACATCTCTCACTGACCCTCACTTGCTGAGCTCCGTTACCCGTAACGAAACACGACCAATCTCAACCACACAATCAGACTTCATCCACACACCACCATTCAACCAACGCGCAACCAACGGGGTCCCCAGCTCCCAACACCACCCAACGGCCCGAACAGAGATTTCCGACGTTTCCGCAATCAGGAACGAAAAAATTTATTCCGCTTACGAAGCTTGCCCTCACCGGATTTTGAGGGAGTCATCGGATCAATCAATTAATCAACCCCACCACACCGCAATTGCACCGACTGCACTGCACTGCACTCACCGAGGTGCCGAGTCCATCGCATCCCGGCCCGCATTTCAAGCTCAGGAACGGCCGAACTGCATCCGAAACCGGACACGGAACTAGAACCGGAGTCGGACTTCACTAGTCCCACATTTCCCGGATATCAGCCCCTGAACACCGGATACGCCATCGAATCAACGGACCACATCCGGGATACACCTCCGGACTCAGGCCGCAATACCCGGCAACAAATTCAACCACATCCGGCTAGATATCCCGGACTTGCCTCACCAGTCCAGTCCAGTTCAACCACGCAAATACACACAAAAACGCAACAGGCCGCAACAACAACGAAAAATGACAACCCTCAACACCCCCAACTTCGCCGCTCACGGGCCATCCTCCCCTCCCCGCTCTCAAACCTCCTCGCCCATCTCCCCCAAATCCACCACCCCGGCACCTCTTCCCACCATCTCAACCAACCTCAACCCCCCTCCTCCCCTCACCACCGACTCCCAATCCCAATCCCCCGAAAAAGACGAAGACGATAACATCTCCGACCTCCCCTTCCCCACCGCCCTCCCCCGCCCATCCTTCCTAACCCCCCACTTCTCTCCCCTCGCCTACCTCGACGCCCTTTACTCTTCCTCTTCCTCTTCCACCACCACCACCTCCTCCTCCTCCTCATCCGACCCCTCTTCCACTTCTTCCCCCTCAACTTCAACACCCTTCACCCCAGGCCTAGGACAAAGACATCAAACCCTCCCCGACCTGCGCTCAGAGCTTCACACCCGTTCTTTATCCATCTCTTCCGAACTCCTCGAATTAGTAAACGCCAATTACACCTCCTTTTTGTCTTTAGGCGACGAGCTCAAGGGAGGAGAGGAGAGGGTGGAAGATATTCGCGTTGCGGTTCTGGGGTTCAAGAGGGCTGTGGAGGAGGTGCGACTGAGAGTTAAAGAAAAAAGGGGGGAGGTGGGATTGCTGTGTGGAGAGCTGGGGAGTGTGAGGGGTGGAATAGAATGGGGAAGGGGGGTGTTGGAGTTGGCGGAGAGAGTGGAGGGGTTGGAGGTTAAACTTAGTTTGGGGAGTTTGGGGAGTACCGGAGGGGGCAATGTTGGGACAGGGGGGGGAGGGGGAGGAGCTGGGGTGGAAGGATGGGTAAAGAAGGGTATGAAGGACGATTTAGGAGAGGAGGATGATTACGAAGGATGGGATTCCGGGTCGGAGGATTTCAAGGAGGAGGTCCTCTCTGACGATCTCGAGGATGACGAAGAAGGGGAAGGATTCATGTCCAGCACTCCCGCTGAACTCGAGGCCCTGGCAAAGGAATATGTCAAGATCGAGCAGATGGCTGATAGACTTGGTGGACACGAGGTGCCGTTTGTGAGGAAGATGGAGGAACGGATGATTAGGTGCCGGAATACTATCTTGTTGGATCTGAGCACGGCGTTGAAGGAGGCGAGGAGGGCGGCGGGCGAAAAGGGGAAGAAGAGGGTGATTAGGCATTTGGGGGTTTATAGGTTGTTGGACGCGGAGTTGGAGGCTGTCAGGGTTTTGAGGGAGAAATAGGCTGTTAAATGGAGAGGGTGCATGTAATAGAATTGCTGATAGAGGTACAGGCCTCAGAGGATTTAATATACTTAATAATACACATACACCTAAACATAGAGACAAGAATACATGTCAGACCACGTTACTTGTACAAACCGCTCCATTTTGCCATTATAATACATGCCTATGATACAAGGAAATCTAGCCCACACCCTCCGTCTCTTACATGACCGCCTCCAAATCCTCGGGCTTGATCTTGTCGTCGGTAGGGGCAAACTCGGCATTCAGACTCAACCCAGGACCATGGGTCGTGCTAAGAACGACCTCCTCCACCATCTTGGGTGTGCTATCATCAATCTTGCTGATATCGGCCTTGAGCTTGGTCATGAAGGCACGGATGTTCTCGCCCAGCTGCTTGGGGGTAAAACCGAGCTGACCAACGGCCATGCGCACGACACCCATCCTCTCCCTGTACTCATCCATGCCGATCATGTCCCGGAAGGTGGCCTCGAGGTTGTTGGTGATGGTCTTGGTCTTGCCGCTAGGCATCAGGCCCTTGGGACCGAGCAGCTTGCCGACGTTGGCCTTGCGGAGCGCGCCCTCGCTCTCCGTGTGGCACAGCAGCTTGTTGAAGATGAAGTTGCCCGACCGGATCGCCTCGAACAAGGTCTCCTCGCCCGCCAACACGGCTCCCAGACGCTTGGCCTCCTCCTGCAACTCGCTGCCCTCGGGGCAGATGACGGCGATACGCGTGTCGGTCTTGACGGGCGTCGGTAGGCGGACGCGGTCGCGCACCACGGCGCCGCCCTTTTTTGTCCGGAGCTTGACGTGCAGTTCGTACTTGACGGAGAGCGGGGGTTGGCCGACCTCGGCGGCGCGGAGGTAGCTGTTGCAACAATTCTATTAGTTGATGATGCGATTGCATGGTACCGGCCGGGTAGCTTGAAACTTACCGCATAGCATCACACAGAGAAAACTGCTGGATGCCGGTCATGTCCCATGACTTGAAGAACTTGTACTGCTTCTTCTTCTTGGGGGCCTTCTTGGCTCCGCCCTTGTTGGAGTTGTGTGTCGCATATCGAACCTGCGATGCGCCGACCACCGACGGGACGAGGAACTTGGGTATTGTCGGAAGAGCAGCTCTGGTGGGAGTCGACAGGCTAAGCCTTGCCAGCGAGGCAAGACATTGTTGTGTTGAAGCCATTGTGTGTGATGGTGGTCGGGGTTGGTGTCGCGCTCACTCTCCGGAAGAGGAACACTCGAAGGCGGGCGGCAGGCGGCGGCGGCGGACGGGGGAATCGCGAATCGTGAATCCTCGGACGGCAGTCCAGTCCAGTCTCGGGGTCCCGGCGCGGGCAATTGGCACGCCCGCCTAGAAAAAAAGTTGGGCCCGGGGCAGACTGCTGCGGCAACTGCGCTGCACCGGCTGGGCGTTGGCGCGGCAGGCAGCGCATTTCTGTCACTGTTAACGAACTTGCTGAGCCACATTTTGCGAAGAAACGCCTCAGTTCGTCTTGACTTTCACAGTAGCAAGCGCCACATCTGTCACACCACTGGACCTACCCCGGACGCTACCGCAAGACGCTAAACTTCAGCGCACGAGAGGACCCCGCCGCCACTCCACCCACCCGTCCCGCTGCTGCCCCTCCAAAAACTTCCTTGACTCAAGGGAACCTAATTGTTTGGTGACGACTTTGATCCTGTCCCGGTGTTTGTTGTTTTCTTGTACAGTTTCAACCCAATTCCACATATACCTCATCCATCACCATGAAGCTGGACGAGCTCAAGCCTCTCGAGGCCCTCCTCACTGCGGACTTCCGCCAGATCGAGCCCCGCCTGCAGGCCCTCGACAAGCACCTTATCCTGCGCACCTACCTCGACGGCTACACCCTCGGCGACATCGACACCAAGATCTGGCTCGCCCTCCGTGGCAACCGCGCCGCCGTCTCGTTCATCAAGCGCGGCTCGCTCGCCAACCTCGCCAGATGGTTCAACTACATCGAGGAGAACCACCCCGAGATCCAGGCCGAGGTCAAGGCCAAGGACGCTGCCGCTAAGGCCAAGGTCGCCGCCGCCTCCAAGGCCGGTGCCAGCTATGCCCTCGCCCTCCAGAACGCCGACCAGGGCGTCGTCACCCGTTTCCTTCCCGAGCCCTCGGGTTACCTTCACATCGGACACGCCAAGGCTGCCCTCCTTTCCGACTACTTTGCTCACCAGGCTTACAAGGGCCAGCTGCGCCTCCGTCTCGACGACACCAACCCTTCCAAGGAGAAGCAGGAGTACCAGGATGCCATCATCGAGGATCTCGCCCTCATGGGCATCAAGCCCGACGCCGTCACCTACACTTCCGACTACTTCGACTACCTCTACGAGATGTGCGTGCGCATGATCAAGGAGGGCCACGCCTACGCCGATGATACCGACCAGGAGACCATGCGCGACCAGCGCTGGAAGGGCATTGCCTCTGCCCGCCGCGACCGCTCCATCGAGGAGAACATGCGCATCTTCATCGAGGAGATGAAGAACGGTACCGAGGAGGGTCTCAAGAACTGCATCCGCGCCAAGCTTTCCGTCGACAACCCGAACAAGGCTCTTCGCGACCCCGTCATCTACCGCTGCAACATCGAGACCCCCCATCACCGTACCGGCACCAAGTGGAAGATGTACCCCATGTACGATTTCGCCTGCCCCGTCGTCGACAGCCACGAGGGCGTCACCCACGCTCTCCGCTCCACCGAGTACACCGACCGCAACCCCCAGTACCAGTGGTTCATTGATACCCTCAAGCTCCGCCAGGTCTACATGTGGGATTTCGCCCGCATGAACTTCATCCGCACCTTCCTCTCCAAGCGCAAGCTCGCTAAGCTCGTCGATACCGGCAAGGTCTGGGGCTGGGACGATCCTCGCATGCCCACCATCCGTGGTGTCCGCAGGCGCGGTATGACCATCCCCGCCCTCCGCGACTTCATCCTCAAGCAGGGCCCTTCTCGCAACGTCGTCACCATGGACTGGACCAACTTCTGGGCTTCCAACAAGAAGGAGATCGACCCCATTGCTCCCCGCCACACCGCCATCACCAAGAAGGACGCCGTCAAGGTCATCGTCAAGGGCGCCGACGCCCCCTGCCGAGCCCATCAAGCAGGAGAAGCCCAAGCACCCCAAGAACAAGGAGGTCGGCACCAAGCAGGTCACCTTCGCCAACGAGCTCATCATGGACCAGGCCGACGCCAAGTCCTTCAAGGAGGGCGAGGAGATCACCATCATGGGCTGGGGCAACGGCTTCGTCCGCAACATCGACTCCTCCGCCGAGGTCATCCCCACTTTCGAGATCGACCTCAACCTCGCCGGCGACGTCAAGTCCACCGAGAAGAAGGTCACCTGGCTCGCGTCCAAGGGCCAGACCCTGGTCCCTGCCGAGCTCTGGGACTTTGACTACCTCATCACCAAGGACGTGCTCCAGGAGGAGGACAACATGGAGGACTTCCTCAACCCCGTCACCGAGACCATGGAGGAGGCCTGGTGCGACGAGGCGTCGGCCACCCTCAAGAAGGACGACATCATCCAGCTCGAGAGACGCGGTTATTACCGTGTCGACAAGGGTCTCGGCGACTGGAAGGAGGGCGAGGAGAAGAAGCTTGTGCTGTTCTGCATCCCTACTGGCAAGACTGGTTCCAAGTAAACTTGTTAAAACATGTAAGCGGGAATGGGTTTTGTCGGGGTTGCGACAAGTTACGAAAAGTTGGTAAAAGTATGTTGGTATAGAATGATGGAGATGAATGTAATGAAAACATTTGAATGGTCATGTTGTTGTATCATGCGTTGTGATTCTGCTTTTGGCCAGTTGAAAGGTCAACCAGTGGCTTCACCGACGGAATGTCTGTTGTCTGTTGTCAGAATAACAGGGTTGGGGTTATACCAGTTGCCCCAGCCAAAGCGCAACCGATTTTCCAAGCTCGCCAAGCTCTCTTGCGAGGTTGCTCACAATTGCTCACTTACCCGGGACTTTTGCACCAGCTGGTCGTCTAAGGATATTCTTACTCCCAGATCAAGCCATGTCACCCCTAGGTAGGTACTCGGACCCTGCACGCAAGAAAAGCATGCGAAACCAATTGTCCATCCAACAGAAGATATTGAACATTTTGCTGTTGCATCAATGGCGCACACCGTCAAAAACAGCGCCGCTTTGGAAGCTGAAGCGAAGAACGGGAGTTTCCGCCAGGGCTTGCGGCGCTGACACCTTTCGGCACACTTGTGGATTGTCACGCTTGTGATTTGTGTCACCGCCATGATCTTGACACCTGCTCCGACAAGCCACCATCGATATCTTTAGTTTCCCAGGCTTCTCAACCCCATTCTCCGTGTCCAAATTCCCGTTTGCAAAACCCCGTCGGGTCTTGTCAGATTGAATACATAGAATAATCCAGAATCAAACCAAGATTGCCGATGGCCGATCCCACCAACGGGTTATGAAATGGATATGGTGATGTTCCGAATAATGTCAAGCGCTGGGCATGCTGGGCGACTCTGGGCGTCTGGGCGGGCAGCAAGCGAAGCACATGCCAGACAAATGTAACGGTTGACAAGGCTTGCGCAATGAGAGACAAGAAAACACAAGAAAAATCCCAGGCGGACAAGACAATGCCGAGCCTGTTGCAAGCCAGAAAGTCAGCTTGGCTGGAGAGTTTCATCAATCACGAACTCACAAAGAGGCTGGGCGGGAATTGCAAACCCAACTGAAATCAAAAACGGAAAGGTCACGTCCTGCAGTGCTGCAGTGGTGCCGCCCTTTCCCCCTGACAGCGATCGACGTCAAGCCTAGCTTTGATCAAATGGGGGGACGTGCTTCCGCCTGAAAGCAACTGAAAGGTCCAAAACAAGCCCAGACGCTTGCATAGAAAGCTGAAAATGAGGGAAGAGCCCCGGGGCCAGTGCCGACGGAGAACATTTGAAAAACAGGCAGCGGACGGAAAGATCTTTCTTTACGTCATTGGCTTGTCAGTTCGTTCACCTCCTCTTGGCTTTTGCTTTTTTTTCGTCAGTTGCTTGTCAGGCTTGTGGCTCCAATCTTTCGAGCGAACAAGCTGGAGCTTGTTGCCAAGTAAATACCAAGTCACCAAGTTAAGAAAGGGCAATGTCTCACACGACCTGATTTGCAATTGACTTTTGCTCATTTCCCCCAAGGTCCCCCCAAGGTCCCCAAGGTCCCCCAGCCATCTCCATTGTCCCTACCTTCTGGACAAACGGTTGTTGTGTCAAATTTCTTTTTCACTTTTCAGTTTTTCTCTCTTTTTCAATCTTCCTACTAGGAACTAATCGTTAATTCGATCTTTCCATTCCATTCCGCCCTTCCATAACTTTTTGTGGAGGTGTTCTGGACTTGCGAATCGACATTGCGCTGCGGTCTGTTTACACGTCGCGACTCGTTTCCTTGACGACGACGGCGACGACAGGAGCTTTTAGTTAAGCTTAACAGAGCTCCACCACCATCACGAGTACGAGGAGCTTCAACACATTTCCCTAGGACCCTGAATTCCACATTATCAACAACACACGATCCGACTCGACGACAAACTCGAAGCGCGCCGCGATAATGAGCGGCCCTCAGTATGGCGCCCAACCGGGTGGCTACTACAACAACAATAACAGCTACCCTCCTCCTCCGCCCAACTCGTACCAGATGAACCCCATGCCTCCCAACGATGGTAACTACGGTCAGCAACCGCCGTATGAAAATGGTTATGGGAATGGCGGGTACGCTCCTCAGGGACCGCCGCCGAACGGGTACAAACCTCCTCCGGTCGATGGTTACGGCGGTGGCCCCCCTCCGCCTGATGGTCCCCCGCCGTCGTACGATGAAGTGTTCAAGGTCCAGAAGCCCAAGTACAACGATTGGTGGGCGGGTATCTTGTTCCTGGCTACCGTTGCTGGGTTTGTCGCGGTTTCGGCTATCAGTCTTCATGGTTATGGTAGGACACATCCACTGTCAATGCTTTGAAGATGGAAAAAAGAGATGTGAAGATGTTTACTGACCAAAACACACACAACAGCCGACAACAGAAGTCAAAACAATGGCAGCCTCAACGGCCAACGTAACACCTTTGGTCTCACCACCCACACCATCTACCTCTTTGGCTGGGTCCTGATTTGCGCCATCGTCCTCTCCTACGCCTACATGTGGATGGCCCGCAAGTTCACCAAGCAGTTCATCTATGCCACCGGTATTCTCAACATCGTCATGGGGCTGGTCACTGCTCTGTATATGTTATCTAGGAAGTACTGGTCCGGCGGCATCGTCTTTTTGATCTTTGTCGTCCTCCAAGCCCTCTTCTTCTGGTCCTGCCGGTCCCGCATCCCCTTTTCAACTTTGATGCTTCAGACCGCCATCGACGTTGCCAAGGTCCATGGACACGTCTACCTCGTCTCGGCCGTCGGCGGTCTCGCCGGCACTCTATTTGCCCTCTACTGGGCCATCACCCTCGTGGCCGTCTACATCAAGTTCGAGCCCGACCAGAACAACGCCGCCTGCCGTAACGCCGGCGGCTGCTCCTCGGGCAAAGTCATCGGCCTCATCGTGTTTATCACCTTTGCCGGCTACTGGATCTCGGAGTGGCTGAAAAACACCATCCACACCACCGTCGCGGGCATTTATGGGTCATGGTACTTCAACAGCAGGAACTACCCTACCAAGGTCACGCGCGGCGCCCTCAAGCGCTCGCTCACTTACTCATTCGGCTCCATCTCCCTGGGATCCCTCTTCATCGCTATTATCAACCTCATCCGCCAATTCGCCCAAGCTGCTCAGCAAAACGCCATGCAGGAAGGTGACATCCTGGGCACCATCCTCTGGTGCATCTTCGGCTGCTTGATCGGCATCCTGGACTGGCTCGTCGAGTTCATCAACCGCTACGCCTTCTGCCACATCGCCCTCTACGGAAAAGCCTACTTTGCCGCGGCCAAGGATACCTGGAAGATGATCAAGGACCGCGGCATCGACGCCTTAATCAACGAATGCTTGATCGGCCCTGTGCTCACCTTTGGCGCGACCTTTGTCGCGTACGCCTGTGGCTTGATTGCGTATCTGTACATGGTGTATACCAAGCCGGCCTATAACGAGGGAGGAGGGTTCACGCCGGTGGTGGTGGCGTTTGCTTTCCTGATTGGGCTGCAAGTTTGCAATGTTTTCACGACGCCGTTGACCAGTGGTATTGATACCATTTTTGTGGCGACGGCGTGGGATCCTGAGGTGTTGATGAGGGATCATCCGGATTTGTATTACAGGATGGTACAGGTTTATCCGCATGTTCAGGAGGCTATTCATGCTTAAGTGGGCTGAGGAGTGGAGAGTGGGAAAGGAAGGGAGAAAAGGAAGACAGAGAGGAAGCCTTTTAGAGGCGGTTGTTTGGTTGGCATGGGAGGGAAAGTTAATCGAAAGGTAACGGGTTCCTTTTCGAGGAGGAGTAAAGGGAACACGAGTACCAATAAGCTATGATGATACCTGTAACTTTCGTGTAATTCTTTGAGGAGTTCGGGTGGCTGTTGCATGGGTTGGAGGTGGTCTGGGGTCTGGGGAGGTTTGATACCATTGATGTTCGGAGGAGGTACAGTAATACGGGAAGGGAGGGGAGAGAGAATGATACCACACAAGGAAACAGGGGAGAAGGGATGGGATGAATGCGAAGAGTATTACTAGTAATAACAAAGTTAATCACCTAATATGTTTATCGCTCCCGTTGGCTTCAGGTGCTCCTCTGGGCTTTGGTTACGGGGTCCGTTCGTGATTCAGTACGTAACGCTCGAGATTGAGAAATAGTCACTCCCGAATGGTGTACCATTGTGTTAAATTTTGAACTATATCTTTTGAACAAGAGTGAGCATCAAAACCACCTATCTAAGGTGTCAAGCGTTATGAAGAAAGTACACCGGCCCATCCATCACCTTGATCACACCTATTCGTGCAGCCCAAACTTGAGTCAGTGAATCTCCCTCCCTTCAAAACAAAACTCCAGTTCATCCCGTCGCAACTTCCCAGCTTCCCAATATGACCCCACAATATCCTCCACAATCCATCCACATCGCATCCCGCCTGCAGCTTCGTCGTACAACCTCAACCTGTCAACCTACCAACTACACCTGCAGGTCTGTATGCACATAAACTCAATACCTGAACCACTAATTCAACAATAACAACCACACTAGTCACTTTGGCGGAGTGGTTAACGCGCTGCCCTGCTATTCGCAAGAAAGCAAGTTTAGGCAGTTCCCTCGGGAGCACAGGTTCGAATCCTGTAGGTGACGCATTTCTTTTTTCTTTTTTCGCATTTTTTTTTTGCACCTATTTTAATCTATTTTTGGATCAGTGTGCACGATTGACATCTTTCAACGCAACTGCACTTTTTGGACCTTTTCATTGAGGATCGACGATGCTGTTTTACGTTGCTGAATGGTGGTATTGCGGTCTCCGTTTGTCAAACGATACTTAAAGCGGCTCGTTTGGGTTCACTGACAGCTATGGTAGGACATCTTGAACGCCAGACGGCTACTGATTACGCGATAGCTCACAACGCCCACGCCGATACCGACGACAGTGCCAATACCAATTACCGATGCTGATTTTGGCGATAATGATGCTTCACACGATGGCCAACGTACTATGGTAATTTCCCACGCCGGGTTATTATACCGACGTTGGATGAAGCACAAGCCAATGAGATGTCTCGCTTGATAGCTAGCGACCACGACGAACCATTCGTCCAATTCGCAATCGTTCGACGATAATGACGGGTTGAGAAGCCGGCGTCTTGGAAGCGGCCCAGCCTGTCCCTAGGGGTGGGGTGCTAAGCCAGCGAGGAGTGAGGGGAAGCTAACCTCCTTGTCAAACATCACGCCACTTGTTGATGTTCTGGGCTTTAACGACAACGACGGGAAACAAAACGGATTTGTTGCTAAACCGTTTTGAGGAGACGGCTCATGATTGAGGAGCTATAGAGGGTACTACTGCAGGAACAGGAATTGGTTAATAAAAGAAGGCATCCCCATAGAGCATTGACATTGGGACGAGGAGGAACTGTTCACTCTTCATTTATCAAAACGAAGACGAAAGACACAACCAACACCAACACCACCACAATGACAAACCCAACCATCGCCGCCACAATCGCGGATGCAATCCAAAAAGACAAGTCCGAAATAGCACTCATAAACAACCACATCCACTCCAACCCCGAACTTGCCTACCTCGAATTCACCGCCCACTCCACGCTGGTCCATTCCCTCCGCCGGCTCGGATTCTCCGTCACCTCGCCCGCCTATGGCCTGCCCACCTCTTTCGAGGCCGAGTTTTCCAATGTTGGCCCTTCTGGTGAACAAGGCCGCCTGGTAATCTTCAACGCCGAGTACGACGCCCTTCCCGAAATCGGTCACGCCTGCGGCCATAACCTCATTGCGTCCGCTTCTTTGGCTGCCTTCCTTGGTGTTGCCGCCGCTTTGAAAGCCTCCGGTCAGCCAGGCCGTGTACGCTTGTTGGGAACGCCAGCTGAAGAAGGGGGAGGCGGGAAGTTAAAACTCATCGAAGCTGGTGCCTATAAAGGTTGCGACGCCTGCTTGATGGTGCACCCCGGTCCTCAGGCAAAACTCCCACAGGGAATCACAGCCGTTTCCTATGTCAGGATGCTAGCCAACGTCAAGTACCGCGTGTACTTCACCGGCCGGGAGGCGCACGCTTCCATCTGCCCTGGGCGGGCATCAACGCCCTCGACGCCGTTTGTTTGTCGTACAACGCTATTAGCATGTTGCGGCAGCAGATTCGGCCTGAAGAGCGGGTACACGGTGTTTTTCGCGAGGCGGGGACAAGGCCGAATATCACGCCGGCGGATTGTTGCGTGGAGTATTACGTCCGGTCTGTTACCCGGAAGGGGGCGGAGGATCTGGGCGAGAGGGTACTGAAATGTTTCGAGGGAGCGGCGTTGGCGACGGGGTGCGAGTGGCGGAAGGAAGATATGTCTCCGTATTACGATGTGCGACCGTCAAAGGGGCTGTGTAAAGCTTGGATGGAGGCTATGAATTCTTCCCAGATAGCAGAGGAGACGGAAGGGAAAGGGAAAGGAAAAGTAGCATGGGAAGACCCCAAGGATTTCTTCCAGGGAAGCACGGATATGGGGAATGTGTGCTATGAATGTCCGGGGTTTCATGGCGTGTTTGGGATTGAGACGGAGGAGGGGGCGGCAAATCATACCAAGGGGTTCACGGCGGGGGCGGGGACGCAGGATGCCTTTGAGAAGGCGTTGGAGTGTGGAAGGGCGATGGCGGAGGTGGGGTGGAGGGTGCTTGTTGATGAAGGATTTGCGGCGGAGGTGAGGAGGGAGTGGGAGGGGGATATGAAGGATGCGGAGGAGGGGAGGTAAATTTGGTGTTCCTGTGAGTAGGAGTTAGTAACACGGTCGATTTCTACTTGGGCGTTTCGCTTTTGGGATGATATAGCAGTTGAGGGATCCAAACCCTTTTGTGTTTTGTTCTTCATGAATGATACCTTCTATATGAACCTGTAGTTTAACCCGTCAACTTTCATTCCTTCTGTTCTTTACATCTTGACTTCACCTAAGCCTTCACCTCGCTCATACTAGGAAACACACTGAACATCTCCCCGGGCACGCTCTTCCACTGCATCTCCCCATCCAGCTTCATTTCCTGACACTCCCTCCACGCCTCCCTAACCATCTGCGCCCTCTTCTCGCTTCTAGGCGTGATATTCATCATGAACGGCGCCGGCTGCACCAGCAACCCACCGATCAGATCAAGTCTATCCGGCACGATCTCCTTGCCGGTCTGCGGGTCGACAGCCCGGTCAAAGTTAAACGCCCACATCAGGCGGGCAATGCTCAGAAACAGAAAGTCGTCAGCGACGTGCAGACCCTGACAGATACGACGGCCAGCACCGAAAGTGTAGTGATCGCGCTCAGCAACGTTGGGGTTCAGTGCCGCTTTGGAAGAGGTTTGCGTGTCGTGCATGAACCGGTCCGGGTTGAACGTGTGAGGGTCCTTGTAGCGCTTTTCATCCGTGTTGATGCCCCTTTTTCCCTCTGTTAGCTTTTCTCTCTCTCAAGGACACTTCTTCTCCCCCAAAAAGAGGGAAAACTTACCAGATATTCAACACAATACTCGAGTTCTTCGGGATCCGATACCCCCTATACTCATCATCCCTAATCACCGCATGCGGCACGCCCAAAATCCCCGTCGGCATCCACCTCAGTGCTTCCTTCATGCACGCCCTGACATACTGCGCCCTGGGATCCGCGAAATCCTCAATACTAGGCATCCGGCTCCCACCGTCGGTAAACTCATCCACACACTCCTGCAACCGCCTCGCAACGTCAGGATACATAACAATAGCCATAATAAACGCCGCCAGCGTACTCGAGGTCGTATCGCTGGCCGCCTCCAAGCCCGCATTGCCAATAATAAACGCCGCTTCCTCATCTGTAATCCCCTGTTCCTGCGCTTTCACCATCGAAATAGCAAAACAAGGCTGCGACGTCCCCTGGAGAACTTTCTGCTTGGCCGGCATCCACAAACTCAAAAAAAACTGGCTCGTCTTTTCGCCTACAGCCACCGCGTGCTTGTAGATTGGCAAGAAACGCTGGAAGTTGCGAAGAAAGGGGTAGACATCTAAGAGAGCGGCGGCTTGCGCACCGTTGAGGTCGGAGAAGTATTGCAGGTTCTGGTACATCTGCAGCAGGCGAGGGTCGGAGGAGTCTTGGATGCGGAAGCCATAGAAGATGGAGGTTGCTAAGGAGTGCGAGGTGCGGCGGAAGTGTTCGAATAGGCGCGACTTGCCGGCCTCGGTGGCGGAGACGGAGCAGGTGTCTTCGAGGATGGCGGCTAGCAAAGAAATGTTTTCCAGGTCTTGGTAGGGCCGGAAACTGAGGGAGGAGGCCATGTTTAGGATGGAGTGCAGGATTTTGCGGGCGCGGCGCCATTGGTCGCCGTAGAACTGTCATTTTCTCCTTGTCAGTCATTGCTTCGGCAGAAGAGAGAGGAAAGAAAAAGGCAAAGGGGAGGCTTACCCATCCAGCCATGCGCAACCCCTTACTTGCCACTCTGGACAAGTAAGCCTCAGCACGGGAGGAGTAAATCCCACTGCGCTTGTCCAACAATTCCTTGACCATCTCGGCGTCGTTCAAGACAATGGTAGTTTGCGTGCCGAGAATGAGCGTGTAAATGGGGCCGTACTCGTCCGCCCACTTCTTGAATTGGAGGTAGGCCTTCTCTTTGGGCATTTGTAACAAATTGCCAAGGAGCCATTTGGTGGGAGGACCGGGAGGGAGGTCATTGGGTCTGCGCCCGACGTTCCTGATCCTGAAAAGGGTCAAGAGGAAGAGGCCCAGGAGGGCAAGAGGGACGAGGGGGAGGGCCATGGTGGTGGCCGTCTATCGTCTGTTGGTGGGAGAAGAGGAGGGAGAGATTTGACGGAGGTCAACTGCTCAAAAACATTGTAGGAGGGGGGAGGGTGCCGTCTCTCTTATATACCCCAATGAAAACCTTCCCACGATCCAGTGAAATCCCCGAAGTGACTATCCCCTCCCATGGACCTGGGTCCAAAAGCCGAGCTCATCTTCATCCTCAATCAACCACACAGCCGTGCCATCACGGTGCCTCTTGCCGTAGGATTCGTAGGCATGAAGTTGTCGCTCATGATTCGGTTCGATGCTACCCTGTCGGCTGCATGTAAGACGAAGAGCGGAGTGCAGGCAGGAGTCGATATTTGGGAAAGCTTCACCATCAATCCCCGACGGGAGATATGGATGGGTAAGATATAATGCCCAGGCACCTCAGTGTTTACACAGCATAACCGTGAGGCTCGCTAACGGTTACCGCACGCGAAGGATGAGGCTAGAAGAAAGAGCCTCTTTATGTCAGTCAGCATTTAGTGCTATAAAGCAAGGTAGAGAAACCGGTTTTGGGGTTGCGGTATGTGGGAGTTTTGGTTACTAGTGCAAAAAAAGAGATGAGAGCCGATTATCGAAGGAATCTGACAAGTACTGGTATCTCTTTGGACTGTTTGGTCGTTGTTTTTGGTTATGTTATCGTTGGAGGTGCGGAGGAGGTTGTATCGAGCCCCTGCCCCGCTAGACAGGCACTGTCAGGGGCCTCGCATTAGCTCCAGCCTCCAGCCCTCCAGGCAATAATGAAGAAAAGGCGCAATGCAGGAAATCCCATGTGAGGATCGTGAGGATCGTGAAATGTAATGTTTGATCCGGATATTGTGGGGTGGAGGCAAGAGCCGTGAAAGTTGCCAACGGTGTTTTTTTCGGTTGAGCCGTCGAGGGTATGTGCCGCGGGTTGTTGAGAGAAAACCTTCAAAAGATTGTAAGCAACGGCGTGGAAACCTCCCGCAACCAGCGTTGATGCTGATTCACTCGTTATAGTCCAACTTCCCCTTTGCATTATTCTCCTTTTCTTTTCCGTGTTTTGCGAGGTTATTCTCAAGTCGCTCTCTTCAGTTCTTCTTGTGACTCCAACCCAAGCTCGTCCGCGAGTACGTAAGACGGATGATGTTACATTGCAACCCCTCCAGTCCTCCACGCAATCCACTATCTGGGCTACCAAGAGCTGACATGCATCCTTCCATCGAATTGCATCGAGATCAACCATTTCCGGATCAGAATCCTCATTTCCGGCGGAATTTTGTCGTAGGATTGGCGGTGATGGCAAGGCATATTGTCATCAACTTATCGTAGCCGAAGCGAAGGTGATGAAGATGTGTTGTGGTGTTGTGTGTTGTGTGTTGACAAATGGCAGTTCTCGAGGACCGGTCGCAGGTAGTGATTCACTTTCCTTTCGAGATGGTTCAGCCGTAGAACTAAGATCACATTGCTGCCATGATTCGGATTTGTAACAGTCGTCGAAGGTGAAAGCCAGAACAGACAGTCCTTCCAAACCTGTAAAATCCAGCACCGTGATTCGGTCGTGAACAACCTCTCTTCTGCCCGGGCCCGGGTCCGGGGTTCAGGGAATCCAGGACTCAACAGACGGGAGTGTAAGGTTGGTGAAACGTATAACCAGCTTTCTGCCCGATGGGTAACGCCACTCGCACAGCCCAGCTCGCACAACGATCAAGTCGAAAGTAGAACTGATCCGGACCCTGAAAATAACTCAAAAATGTATTACCTTTTAATTTTCCTATCACAAAAAAAAAATGCTCCCGTCATCAACACCAAACCAGCCCACCAGACCACCATGTCCAAGCCAGCCTAGCCTCGCCGCCTCGCCGCCTCCAGGCCTCTAAACCTAACAAAACAAGAAACCAAAACTCCTTTCCCAATAATGCATGTATAGACAAAGCCATGATTACCCTCCCTTCACTGTCACCTCCATGCCATATTATATACTCGCTTTTCTTCCATCCACTTTCCTCTCTCTCCGCTCACTCTCCTCAGAGGGAAGGACTAGAGGCAAGACTACCTCCTAGCGGCGGTACTAGGACTAGCAATCCCCATCCCGCCATTTACATCCCCCGCATCCCTCATATCCCTCTCATTCTTCAACAAATTCCTTCTGCTCGCAACCTCATCATCCTCATCATCGCTCATCAGACCCTCCAGCTCGAACTCGCCCGCATCTCTAAGCTGGGTCTCGGGATTCGTGGGAGCGCGTCCGTTCAGACGAATAGCGCCGTTGCCGTGCTGCGCGGTATTAAGGTTCTTGTTAAGGCTGTCGGCGTTGGCGCCGCGGTCGTAGAAGTGAATGAGGATGTTGACGAAGAGGAAGAGGATGAAAGCCAGGGAGTAGATGATCAGCACGTAAGCGACGTGGTCGATGCCGGAGCCGGCGATGAGAGCCATTTGCTCTTCGGTGGCGGACATGAAGAGGAAGCCGGAGGCGTAGAGGAGCTGTAACGCAAGGCAGGGCAGATGTTAGTAACCCGTGAGACCAAAGGTGTTGGGGATGAGGGGAGGGCAACTTACGAAAACAGGAACATATTGGAAACTGTGCGTCTCATATCCCTGGTCCGAAACAGCCGGTTTATCCTTGAGAATGAACGAAATCTCAATGATACGCGTAAGCCCCGCGCCCATAAGCGTGTAACCGAACATCTTGTGCGTCATGGCGCTGATCATGAGCTCCTGGGGATGAGCAGACATCGCCCAGCCGGTAATCAACAAAACAAACCCAGGGATGAAGTTGCGCTTGGGAGTGCCGTCCCGGTTCCTGCTGAGCCAGACACCAGCGAGACCAGCAGCCCACCAGATAACGCCCATGGTGGTGTGCTGCCAATCGTTGCGGACCCAGGCGGTGCCCCAGCGGTGCTCGGTGAAGGTGTTGACGCAGCCCCAGGCGGCGATGACGGCGCTGTCGAAGAATTCCTGGCTACGGCCGGTGCGGCGCAACCAGATCTGGCCGACCAGGAGGACGATGGTCAAGAGAACGCCGTAGGCGATGAAGGCGCTGCCCATGATGAAATGGGCCAGGCACTGGCCGAGATGGTCGCCCTGGCAGAAGCCAAGAGCGGTGATTCCGCCGAAGAGCATTTGTACCCACGAGGCGATGGGGAAAGCCTTGCCGTTGATGCTGTGGAGGATGCGGAAGAAGGGGCGGATGCGGCCCTGGAAGCCCTTCTCGAGGTGTAACTTAAGGTAGACGCCGAGGGCGACTTGGACGATCATCATGAGGAAGAGAATGTTGGAGAAGCTAGCGTGGACATTGTTGGAGATGAACTGTCTGCCCTTGTGCAAGTGGCCGAGTGCGTATCCGAGGAAGGCGAGGGCGGTCGCGAGGACTTGGAGAGGGACGTGCCAGCGGCTCTTGATTATCTGATCGGTGTCTGTTAGCTTGATCTCCCCAATGTCTACCACTTTGCTTTCATGTCATGGAATGCTTACCCCCAATACCATGCCTGTAGGGAACAGAATGCCAAAGACAAACGTCTGCAAGAAAATATGAAGCCATAGTGTCGTATCAAGAGGGTCGACCGAGATGGTCGCTCCCTCGGGGATCTTATCTTCGTGGTGGTCGTGACCGGACGCCATCGGGATGAATGAGGCGGCCAGAATTGCTGTAGCTGCCGTTGCTGTGATGGAGGAGGAGGACACTGCTCGAGGTATAAGGCGGCGCAACGACGACGAAGAGCCGCCGCCGCGACGGGCAGCCGGGTTGTTGAGAGTCATGGCGCGCGTTTCGGATCGATGTAAGACTGTAACCCTGCGCACTGGCACTGGCGTAACGTAATGGTTGCAAATCGTTCTTCAATGAGATCGGAGGGGTTTGTCAAGATGGGACGAGGCAGTCCGTGTTTCGTACTCGACGAGGATGGGACGATGGACGTAGCGGAGACCTTGTTGGATACGGTGGTATCTACTAATGTGACAGTCGAGTCGGCGACAACAACGATGATAGCAGCACAAGCTAATGTGCTGTTATCGGCGTTCGGTGGTTGCGGGGGTGTTACACGATTGTGACACGGGCGGAATCGACAATCGGTGGAGGAGGATGAGGAGGAGGAGGGGGATGGAAGGAAGAAAGTCGCAGCCGTAAGGGATAGGGAACCAAAAAAAAAGATTGAATTTCAATTAAATTGGCGGAGAACCTTCACGGCGGGTGCGGTGATGTCGGAAGCTCCAGCGAACCCGCTCAGCCCGCCCGCCAATTCAAAGTCCCGCCTTGGCTGCAAGTCCGGATGGATTGGCATTGATGGCCTTCCCGGGGCATTCTGATTGGGCCCAGAGCATCAAACAGCGAACACAAGGACTTGCACTAACTTGGCCCTCACTTGGTTCCCCCACTCGCTGTTACCGTAGTAGGTGCAACGCTGTAGAATACACTAACAATTGCATTCAGGCAGTGCTGTCCCTGCCGCGTAGGCTTCATTTCCTGGCCACAGCACCTGCCGGCCTTCCGATGTTGTGGAACATCCCGGTTTCTCAGTCGTCAACATTCCCCACATTCCCGATAAGGTTGAAAACATCATACTTGATTGGCTGGGAGCAAGGCCTGGGTGTTCCTAATTCTAGACCTTAACAATTTCTCTTGTTTCTTGTCATATATCTTGGCTGGTTGGCTGGTCTCGGCACTTTGTTTCGCGACATCAACTCTTGGATCTTATTCTCTTCTTGTCGCTTTCTCAAGACGAAACATTATTGTATAATCATATCGGTATAAACGTTACCTTGAAACCATCAAACCCAAGACAAGCCAAACCTCGAATGAAGGCCAACTCCCAAACTCCCTTTTCCGGACCATCCATTGTACATGCAACCTCTTTCTAACCCATAGCCCTGAAGCCGAAACACTCCCATTTTCCTCGCAAACATCATTCTTTATACAGCAGACAAACTCCTTGTCAACTCGCCCATTCCCACCTCGTTCGCACCGCTCATCTCCAGGATACTCCTCCTGCTCATCCTGCTCATTCCACTGCGTCTGCTCATCCTGCTCCTGTGAGACCTCACAGTCCTCTGAGACTTCTGGGTTCTCTCCCTCTTCAGAGCAGCTCCAGTACCCTTCTCCAGATCCTCCTCATTGTCTTCCTGCTCGACCTCCTCCTCATCCGACTCCGTCCCGAGGTCTTCCGCCGTCAGACCATTCAATCGAGCGCAAGGACTGCTAGCCCTAATCGCCTCCCCATAGATGATAAAGGCGAAGGGCACCAAACACAAAACGGCGCTGACGATAGCCAGGACGGTGATAGCCCATGCGACTCCCAAGGCGGCAAGCATGTTATCGATCGCCAACGGGATAAGAGCGCCAGCGATGGAGCGAGTGGTACCGCAAGCTGCGAGGGCCGAGGCGGCGAAGTTGAGCGGGGAGTAGGCGTCCGCCACGTACTGTTGTTGCTGTCTGTTAGCACCACATCTTGTACCCAAAGGAGGGAACGAAGGAAACGTACGTTGATCATGGCAGTAAAAATCATGTGGTAAGCGAACCCATACGGCACATAGGCCACCAGGGGAACCGCCCAATGGACACTCTCCCTGCTGGTCCAGCCCAGCCAGAGAAGACTGATCACAAAGATTGGGCCACCAATGCAAGCAATAGGCAGACGCAGATACTCGGATTTGCGATCGGCAGGATGGCGGGCTGCAAGCTTGGGACCGTATGAGTCGTACCAGACAATGACGAAGCAGGCAATGATGGTACCCAGGCCCATGATCATGAAAGCCACACCGGCGATGCCGGGGGAAAAATGGTAGGTTCCGGTCCAGGTCACTCCACCAATCTTGAGCATCATGTAAAAGACGGCGTAGACGAAGGCGAGGTAAATGCATGTCAGGCCAAGAAGGAGCTCAGTGCAGAGCAGGACGATGGGCCGGCAGAGTGTGATACTCTGTTGACGATTGTCAGTTCACCTTTCCACATGGACTGAATGTAATGGGGGAATACTCACAAGCTGCCTCCAAACACTCAACTTCTCACCGTCGGCGTCACCCAAGCCCGTAACCGGAGCGACATACCTGACCCCCTTGGCCTTGCCTTCCGCTTCCATCTGCTTGTTCAGCTTCTCGGCCCTAACCTTCAGCAGTTTGGGATGGAACGTCTCCGGCATCAAGGCCACCGCGATGAACGACACGCCCGCCAGAATGAGCGCAAACCAAAACACCCATCTCCAGCCATGGGATCGTCCCAAAAACCCGCCCACAACCGGCGCTCCCAACGGCCCCACAAACGAACTAGCGCTCCAAATCATCATCATCCTCCCCCTCATCACCTTATCACCAAACACATCCGCCACCACGCCTCCACCAACACTGATAGGCGGCGCACCAAATGTGCCAGAAAGCAACCTCATGACGAGGAACAGAGGCCAGCTGTTAGCCAGTGCGCAGCCTAGCGTAGCAAGGAGGAACAGTCCGAAGCCGGTGACCAAGACGGGACGACGGCCATACGTCTCGGAGAGGGGAGCGCAGATGAGAGGACCGAAAACGAAGCCGATTAGGTACATGGAGGTCGGGAGCGTGGTTTGGGGTCCGGGCGAGGGAAAGTTGAAGACGGGGGCGAGGAGAGGCGAGAGGTTGGAACAAAGGGCGGAGCCAAAGCCGGAGTTAATGCAGGCTAGGGTTGTGGCCACAACGATGAGAAGTTTTTTGGACTTTCATCATGTCAGTATGTGGTGCTACGGTGACGAGGTAAGAGGAGGAATGACCTACCTGAGACCAGTTGTGAGGATTCTCAGGATCATTTTCGGCAAAAGCAACGACAAGTGTCGTAGGTTCGCCGGCAGATAGGTATTCGGCGCCTGAGTCGAGGACTGTTTGGCTGCTGTTGGCCGAGACTGGCGTTATTGTTTCCAAGGGAGTCTTCTTCTCGAATGGTGTTGGGGTTGTCGTTGGGTTTGGATCGCTCATAACGATCTCATCTGTGATATCCTTCTCGTTGATATTCATGTTGGATGGCTACCGGGTTTGAAAGGACCCGTAGCTTTGAGTGTGTGTGTGTGTGTGTGTGTGTGTCGAGGGCCGGTAGCCGAACGAAAAGTCTAAAGATATTGAAGGATGTCCAAGGGGTATCGTCAAGTCGTCAAACTTCGTTCAAAGGAATGTCATGAACGTCACAGGCATCAAACACGGAGTCACACCACACAGAAAAAAAAGGTCACACCCGTGAAGAAAACCAAAGAAGGAAAAAGAGGAGACGAAACACCTGATGAAGCCTGAAAAACAAGCTCTCAAGAGAAGTTTGTGGTGTACGACATGGCGCTACCATCCGCCTTTTATACGACTCGTGACGTCGACGACTTACACGATCCGACCAACCCCTCAAAGCTAAAAAGGGGAAGGCATGAACAAAGTCTGCAGACCACTAGACTAGCAGATTCCAGGTACATAGACTCACCGCAAGGGGCGGGAGTCATCGAATCCAGGCAAGGTTCACTAACAAGATTTTCAGGCACCGCTACTACACAAAAGTTGTGTGACAACCCCCAAGGAGGCTAGTGCAAAGGACTGCAAGGTACCTCAACCCAGACCGTCGGGAGTCTAGACGGGAGGCGAGGCGAGGACGACCACCAACAACGGGCGGGACTGCAAGGGAAGGTTCCATGCAGAGCGGGAAAGATGTTGGAAATTTTGGAAGAAAGGAAATTTTTGCGGTTGGGCAGAAATTCCCATCGGGTTGGCCGTTTTCTTGCTTGTTTCCAAGAAAAAGGCAAGGATGGGGAAATTTTGTCGCAACATTCCCAGGAGCAACTAGCACCCTCTAGACCGTAGACGGTTACGAGTGGCTCGAACCCATGTCCTACTTTTTGTCTAGGCTAGACCTGGACCTGGAGACTCCCCCGATGATTCTCCGGCGGGAACATGAATGAAGTTTCATCCTTCACTTGATGGTCAACTGGCCAAGTCAGTAGAGTGTTACAGAAGAGTGCAAACATGACCATGTTTTGAGCGCTCACTGGGGGTCCAACCAGAAAGGATGACCATGACAACAACGATCATCATTTTGGGTTGAAGGAAGATGGGAAAGAGCGGAAGGAACAGAACTGATCAGGTGATGGATGGTGTTCGAGGCCCAAGTGAAGGAGTTGGTTGGTATCTCACCGACAGAAAGCTGTTGTGGTGTGAGTGGGACGTTCGTTCATGATGCCCTCTTACACCGCGTTCTTCCACTTGGATGACTCGCATGCCAGACACTCGGTGTTTTCTGCTCCGAGAATAGCTTCACCAAGCAACTTCAAAACACCGGAGGATACGCATAAGGACTAAAAGAGGAATGAAATGACCAATTCATGCCCAAGAGTCTCAACAGACAGATCGACGGCGAATGATTACGTACCTGAATATCACAGCCAAACCGGGAATAACAAGTCCAGAGCTTCTTCCAAACGAACCCATCGCTTGGCCACTCTGTCCGCCAAAAGACAAGAGGCCATGTGGCAGCGGTAGCGGTGAATCACAGTGGGGCACACCGAAATATTTCGTAAACCTCACGCTAGCCCCTTGGAAAAACCGAGAAAGTGGCCTAAAAGTGGCACTAGCCTCCCTAGACCACCGTCTAGAACTTTTCGTGAGAGAGCCGGATAAGTTTTACCCCTGGGTTGAATTTGAGTCGGGATACGCACCGATTGGGCATTTGTGGAAACACAGGCCAGGAAAGGCTCAAAAGGAAGAAAGAGACGGTCATCTGCCCAATCGAAAAAAAACCCAACTTCGGTCCACATTGTCCCGGGGCGCTGGGGGCCAAGAAACCACTCGGGATCTGGACCTAGGCCGGAAATCGGAGGTTGATGAGCTAATGACGGTGTGCAAACACGGCCATGATTGTTAGTGTCCTTGACCGTGGGGTTGAAGGGAAGGTGAGAGAAGTTGACCGTGATGTCAAAGATGGGGAAAAAAAAAAAGGCCTGGGGTACCCCCATTCTTCGGCGAAAGACGGCCGGTCCCATCACGGTTCCATAGGGCTGGCTGGCTGGTAGGAATGGGTTAGGTGAGGACGGGACAGGTGATCGAAAAGCATGTGGACGTAATGGCGAACTCTGATTAGGGATACGTTGAATGGTTCGGCAAAAGGATGGAAATTGTCAAAGGTCCGGTAGAAACAATTGGTTCCGATGAGGATGGGTGAGAGAAGACTGCGCGAAAGGCCTGGGGGCTCTGGGGTTATATGGACGTCCCGTCATGCCCAGCCCGGCTCCCGATTAGCCAGTGCCCCCAGCTCCTTCCTTACTAATCTTAAGCTCCTTCTGTGCCGTGACGGCTTGCTTCCCGTCTACTTGCACGCGGGAGTTGCGTCTTCTTTTATGTAGGGTAGAAATCAAGTATGGGCCCGTCGGTCCCGAAAGTGAAGCCAGGGAAGTCTGAATGGACTCCAGGCAAAGATGATCGACCAAGCACAGAAAAAGTTCGCGATGGCTTCATGCAAGTCCTGTCAAAGCCGGTGTTCAACCTCGAGACTTGGGTGTGTGCCGGGTAGAGGGGGGTATCAATGCAATTTGTTCTTCTCGTGCTACTTGAACATGAAGGCTCAACTGTCGTCGCTTGCTTGCTTGCTACAAAGTCAGAAACTGCTTTCTCCAAACCTGCTTCCTTGCTGGCAGTCCCTGGAGTACTCCTCCGTCCTTTTCCAGCCTGTGGACGTTACTCCTGTTTCATCTGACAGCAACTTTTCCCTTCCGTTGTATTCCGCATTGCTATTGCAAACACGGCATAAAACCTGCCGTGTCTCCTAGAATAATTTTTTCTTTCTCTGCCGTTGGTTCACCTAGCAACCGAGCTAGCTTCAGTGCTGCCCCTCTGGATCACCGCCGCCGAATGGATAATTAAACTTCAACAACCCATTCAGCCCTCCGACCCAAGAATCGTCATCCTCTGCGATCCCGTCTGTGTCGCCCTTGGAGCTGGACCGAATTACGCACGGCACTCCACCCCGCCAGCCATGTTCAACCGTCTTCTCAAGCTTTTCTCCTTCCACGCGGACTTCCATCCCGATAGAGACCGCCACCCGCCGCTTGCCGTCTATGCTGACTGGCAACTCCCTCCCTCTGTTCCTCTTGGACAACTTGAGGACGACCTTGGTGTTGAGCGGCAAAACCAAAGGCCGGAAGGAGAGCGAGCGCGGGCTGATGGGTGTGATGAGCAGGGATTTTACCAAAGGGTGGACTATGCTCCCGCCTGCCGAGAGCGAGTAGGCGGTAGATCCCGTTGGAGTCGAAATGAGGATGCCATCGGCTACGGCCTCGGTTAAGAAGTGATTGTTGACGTAAATGTCGATTATAGCAAGGTGAGGATGGGCGCCGCGGTCGATAGACACCTCATTTATAGCGTGTAAGTAAGGAATCGGGGCCTTCTTGGTGATTCCACCAGTACTCGCGGCAGAAAGAGCGCTCGGGTATGTAACCTCGTCGATTTCCGGAACTGGACCGCCCGGTTCAGCAGTGGAGGTCGGGATAAGCTGTTGGTTGATATTTCGTCCTTCGGCGTCGTAGATGCCCACGCGCAGACGGTTGCGCAGGAGGATCTTGGAGGACCGGCTGAGACCCATACATTGTCCGTTACCGCGGACGGCGTCCCAGGCGGGGGATTGCTCAGTGCTGTCGTCCTTGTTGGAGTCGGAGGTAAGGTTGGCGTTGGCGGCCTGGCGGGCGGCGACTTGGGTGTGTGGCCCGACCAAGTCCTCAACCGAGACCGAACACCCGCTCATGTAGCACTCGCGCCAGGCGCGCTTGTATTCCTGGAACTTCCACTCGCCGAGGAAGCCGAGGGTGCCCATGCTGAAGGACAAAATGGGCGGCACCTGATAGTGCATGGAGAAGAGGCTGGCTGCCCGTAAGATGGTGCCGTCGCCGCCCATGGTAGTGACGAGATCGATTTTGTTGGCAAAGAGATTGCTGGCCTCGCCTGGGGCGGCCGTGTAGATGGGGAAGGGCAGCTGCTCGTGGATGGTTTGGGCGACATGGCTTTCGAAGACGATGTTGAGCCCGGGGTAGTTGGAGTGGATGTGTTTGGCGAACTCGGCGGCGGAAACGATTACATGGGGCGCATGCAGCTTGGGCATGAGCAGGACGTTGCGCGGCGGTTGGGGCCATATGAGAGACAGCAGCGAAGATGTCTTTGTCTGTTGGTAATGCGGAACTATGCGATCGGGCAGGGCGGCGATGTCGCGGATCTCTCTGCGGACGGCAGAGACCGAGAAGTGCCGGACTCCCCGAGGAAAGCGAAAGATGGTCATCCTGGGCGGTTTAGGGACCATGGTAGCGATGGAATGGACGTGGCGATTTCGAGCCAGAAATAAGGGTCTCGACATGGCGACATTGTTTGGTGGTGGTGATGATATTAGACGTCGAGATAGTAGTTGTGAGGGGGTGCCGTTGATGGGCACTCGTGGAATTCAACAAGCCATTGCAGTCGTTGTTATTGTGGTTGTACAGTAGTTGGCTCGGTTGGGTATCAGAGTCGAGATGTGTTGTGTTGGGCAGAAAGTGGAAACAAGATGGGAAAAAAGAAAACAGTCTAAAAATGTTGGAGTCTCTTGAATGAAACTGAAGGTCTTCAACTCGGGACTCCAACCGATTGCCGTCAAACATCCAAAAGCCGAACTTCGAAGGCCGCTATCGGGCCAATGGGATCCCACTCAAATGGACGGGATGTCGATTCAAATGCCGTCATACCAAGCCGCTTTGGGAGTCGAGCTGCTTATGGTTCAAGCTCCTTCAAGCTTTCCTTATCGGTCGTTATCGTCCGCATGACCTCTTGCTGACCCCTCTACCCTCCAACACGGAGACACCTGCAGAGAGGGACCGTGGCTGGGCTGACCCAACTGAACGTCAATGGAACCTTTGGACTTTCGGGCGCATGTTACAATCCGACGGAACTTTTGATACGCTACAACATCCGATGTTGCAATGACGCTTCCCGTCGTTCCTAGATCGATGTCTGTATGACTCGTTTTCAGATCTAAATAGCTTCCTTGTCTTGTCCATATTTCTCACATTCATATTCCATCACCTCTATCACCGCCCAGTGTTCAGTTTTTGTTTCTTTGTTTACTGTTGTTTGCGTTTCACCTCAGTTCAGTTCCTCCGCCAAACAACCTCGTCGTTGGTCCCACTGCCGCAGTGTTGGTTGCCTACGTACCTAATATACATACAGAGACATCCCTCCGCCATTCAGACCCTTACCCCATCGTCAGTCACTCCACGGCATTGTCTTGTTATCACCGAACAGGCATCGTCGACTCAGCCTCCAACAAGCGCCCGCACCGGCACGCGCGGATCGGGTTTCAACACTTTTAGTCTGCCTTGTCCCTTGTTCAACCCTTCCTGTATAAGTATTTATTACTATCCCGATCCCTCGGCTCCATCGGTGACACCCAAACACTGTCGTTCTCGCTGGCTGCCTTTCAACACCGCGGCGCAAGCCCACCATCCGAATCTCGACGTCGACCCCCAACCCCAGAGTTTGTGTCTCCATTCGGATCGCTGCCGAACACACGACCCCGCCCCACCCTCCATACACCATACCGTCACCACCATCATGGGTGACCTCCGCCAGAGGGCATCCTATCCGGACATCACATCCAGTGATGCCTCGACAAACCCAAATCCAAACGAAGCTGGACTGCTGGTACAACGAAATGACAACTCGCAAAAGACAATCCAAAATGCGCATCCATCGGGGAAGGAGAAGCATAATCGGTTAATCCAGATCCTTAGGGGTGTTTCACTGGCTATCTTCTTCACAGCATGTTCTGTTGGGTATGTCCTCGTTAGTACCATAATCTGCACTACATCAGCTAACACGAGTGCCTCAGCATTGTCGCGACCCAGTTCCTCGGCGCACCACTGTACTGGATCAATCGCGACCTCTACTACACCTACATGGCTCTTACGAAACAGTCATTCGGCTTAACCATCACGACTATGACACAGTGGTGGGGTCCGACAACCATTCGTATCAGCGGCGATGGTTCCGTCGCCGGCCAGATCAAAAAGACCCCCGACGGCCGCGTCGAGTTCAACTTCCCCGAGCGCATGGTCATGATCGCCAACCACCAGATCTACACCGACTGGCTCTACCTCTGGTGGGTGGGCTACGCCAACGCGCCCCGCATGCACGGCTACCTCTACATCATCCTCAAGGAGTCGCTCAAATACCTCCCCATCGTCGGACAAGGAATGATGTTCTACGGGTTCATCTTCATGTCGCGCAAGATGAACGTCGACCAGCCGCGGTTAGCCTACAGACTCGGGAAGCTAAAGACCAAGCATACGCATAACGGGAGACAATATCTCAACCCCATGTGGCTCCTGTTGTTCCCTGAGGGAACCAACTGCACACAAAACGGAAGGAACAAGTCCAAGAAGTGGGCGGACAAGATCGGTATCAAGGACACTGAGCACGTCCTCTTGCCGCGCAGCACCGGTATCTACTTTTGCCTGAAGGAGTTGAAGGGCACGGTAGAATACGTTTACGACTGCACTGTTGCCTACGAAGGCGTTCCGTAAGTCTCCTTGGCCCTTTACCTTTAAGATGACATTGACCAACACCCTCCACAGCCGCGGCATGTACGGCGATCAATTCTTCACCCTCTCCTCTACCTACCTGCGTGGCCAACCCCCGAAATCTGTCAACTTCTACTGGCGCCGGTTCGCCGTCGACGACATCCCGCTCGAAAACCAGGACGAATTCGACGTCTGGCTGCGCGAGCGCTGGTACGAGAAGGACGCGCTGATGGAGCAGTATCTGACGACCGGTCGCTTCCCGCCTAGTCCGCCAACCAAGGAGGGAGGCCATGAGGGTCACTTGGAGACGGAGGTGCGAGCGAGACATCCGCTGGAGTTTTTGCAGATTTTCTCCGTGTTGGGCGCCGCGGGAGTGTTGACTACCACGGCGGCTAGGACGTGGGGGAGGGTGGCGCAGTGGCTATCGTGAGACACTACGGTCGAGGATGGTGACATCTGATTGCACCGAACCCTGCACCCGTCGGTTCGTGAAGCAACCATCACCCCCCTACCGAACATTGCAAGCGAGAGACGTTTTTAGTGCAGACAGGCATTCACGGATCATGACTGATGAGGCGACGCTCCACTCCGTCCTTTAGGATATATACCCCCTTTTGTGTTTTGGAAGATCTCTGTTTGATAGACTGTTTGGGCAAGGCCGCCCTTACACCCTCGCAAGCCTTTCGGCGTTGGAAATAATGGTTCTGGGATTATATGAGTGTCTGGGTCTGGGAAGATTGAGAAAGGCGCTGATGGTTTGGCTTATGGCTATGGGTTTTGCATATTCCTTGCGTTGATACGACATACCCCTTTTTGCAAGTCATGACGATTGATGCATGTTGCATTGTTCGCAAAGTTATCTCTACCCCTAATGAGCTCGTTACTCTCTTTGTGATAGTGGTACTATATGTGTTGATGTTAACCAAGGTCGTCGAAGACGAATGTCCCTAGCAGACATCAAACAATAGAAATATCAAATGTCAAAAGACGCTAGAATAGGTAAGTAAAAGGACGCACTGCGGCTCAACGGTACCTTCCTTTAACGCATACGGTGCTTGTACATATACACATACACAAGGAAAGCTGCAAGGATTAGGTAGTTCCAGAGACAGTCCAGCTCGGAGACGAACTTAGAACTAAGGGGTCGGTCGCCGTTAAGCAAAGAGCATAGGTAGTGCTTCCAAGAATCCCTTAAATAAGCAGGACGTCCACCTATCTATCCAGGAAGACCGAAAGGTCGGTAAATCTGGAGATGAACGCAAGGTAGAAGAAACAATGGCGATCAGTGGAAGAGTGAAGACTGCATGCATGCACAGGGGCACTCATCCACCACTCCAAACTCCCTCGGGCAAGAAAGTGTTTTGTTCTTCCTGCTGTGGAAGTGTTACCCCTAGGTACCTATATTGATTCACGGTATTATTCGGGTGCGACAACTTTGATGCTTTCAAATACCCCCTTCGCTTGCTCGTGGCGCAGTTGGCTTAAGGCCAGTTGGTCAAATGTTGTTGATATGGATAGGAGCAAAGTCTTTACCTGTAAGGTTTACTTTTCTTACCTTGGCTACCTTAGCTACCCGAGAGTGGCAGGTAAAACTGAGTTCTGATTTTTGGGATCCTTCCATTTCTTCCCAGTGGGTTAGGTAGGTAAGGTAGGTAGGTAGCTCGCCCATGACAAAAAAGTTGACAGCCCAGCTACCATCACCTGTACTTCCAAATACCACGAAACCCTCACCAAAGTCAACAATTTTTATTATATCTGATCCCCAGTTAGGGCGCTTTCCTAAGCCCATAAGCTCCTGCAGTATTCGCGACATTTGGCTAATGAGGAAACAATATTTGTGGTTTCGTGATGTTCTGGCTGATTTGGTGGTGACTACTGGGCTGTCAACAATTCTGTCATGAGCGAGGGTAGGTATCTATCAAGTTAAGAATTTTGTTAATGAGCCCGGGGATCTACCCTGCCTACTACCACCAGACCCCACCGTATCCTACCTATGGTACATACGATAGATATACTGACAGACTCCGCCATTCACAGGTATCCTGTCAGCTCGAGAAACCCATTCGGAAGTTTGCCAGGAGAAAGTTGTAGGCTGCGTTAATAAGAGTGAGGTTTTACTTGTGGGCAGCTTCTTCACTTTTCCCCTTTTTTTTTTTTTTTTTTTTTTTTGTCCGCACCTCCATCCACCCACCCGGTATGCCGGTATTGGTAAGGTATGTATTACCATGCCAATGCCAATAGGACCGATCTATGGGTCTAATGAAGATTTATCTCTCCAGAAACACCACCACCACGTCCGCAGTTCGACAAGAGCTGGGAAAGATAAAAGAAGAGAAACAAAGCATACCTTACTGTTTCACAGACGTACGTAGATATAGACAGTTTTGTGCCTGATGATTAATGCTGTACACGACTATTGCAACATGCGACAAAAAAGGGAAGATAGAGCGGTGGGATAATGATTGATGTCTTGGACAGCGTTTGGCCCGCGCGGACAAGGGACAGAAGTCAAAATGATGGAAGACTTTTTGGATTCTGGATCTGGCGTTCTGGGTTTTGGTCTGTTGGTTTGATTAACGAGTGAGTGACTACCTACTGACGGAAAAGATGGAGGAGGGCTAGAGGGGGTGAAGAGCTTGGTTAAACCTTGGAGGAAGCCGAGATCGAAAGGCTGGAGGGAACTCGGAGTATGGGGAGCGAGCTGCCCTTAGATTAAGAGAACGCTGTCCGCGTTATATCGCATTTCCTCAAAGCTTCCCAAGACAAGACTCCTCCGGTCCATTTACTCTTTCCAGGGATTTGCCGCCATCTGTCTGTAAACGCCTTTCAATCGATGATGAATCTCACTCCCATTGCACCCAACAATGTCGTTCATGATTCTCCTTCTCGAACAATGAGTCTCCAGACCACGTCTCCATGCGAATGATGTGCCCTGCCCTGACACGGAAAGGCTTGATGACGCAAGTGCCTTCCATAGAACATGACAAAAGACTGGCTGTGTCTGGACTGGACCTCAACCGTGCACTTTCTTTATCTTGATAGCAACCGACGGTCTATAGTCTGCGGTCTACTATATCATTTACGACGGGATTTCCTTAAGTTCTCAGCTTTGAGAAACCCCAAATCCCAATGGACACTATGCCACCTTTCCCCATCATCTTCATCTTACCTGTCCACGCATTCATCCTTGCCGTGAGTCATAGGGAGCGGCCCGTCGTCAAATTAGGCAGTAAGACCGGATAACATTAGACCGAAACACCGGGTTACCCTGTCCAAGTTGTCTATAAACCTCCATCGGTCCGACATCGTGATCGGGATTCCGAGATATCGCCAACTTCGGGTTACTTTTCTCCGGCGCGACTTGCTTGCAGGTTGGTGGGTAACTACAGGCCGTGACTACGAGTCTACGCGAGTGTGAGGGCGGCTTGTTTTCCTTACCAGTATGACATACCAGAATCTCCAGAGTAGCGCGACATATGAACCGCGGTCACCCACGTGGATATCTGTCCCCTTTCCGCCCTGGCATGAGGCATAGTACTGTAGTCATGTCGAGTCATCTAATAGTTCCAAAGCTGCCAAAGTAGGAACGAACGCGGAGTGAACCTACCGGAGCGAGGAGTGGAAATCCCAGCTCGAAAACACGTGTGTGTGGATCGTCGAACCAGATGAGCGTATGAGCGAGCGTAGTTGCCTGTGGTCGACAGTCCACAATCATGAACTTTCAGGTCACGCACGCACGAGCGAGAACGACCGAACGAACGAACGTGGCGGCCAGCGAACCGTGTGCCCCAGCCCAGCTTTGTGTCGAGCGTGTCCTTCAGAACCAGACATAGAAACCGCGCAGCTCGCCATACCATGTCCGCCACCGACCTGTCACAGCAATCAGTTTCAAATCCACCCATCCATATGTGAAGTGGAAACATTGACACCAGCTGAAAGGGCCTCAACCCACCGGCGACAGTCAGTCCTAAGGCACACGACACTGTGTGCTGTGTCTTGCTGTGCCGTGCTATGTCGGCCCGTCTCTCTTTTCTTCCAGGCTGTGTCCAATGTGTGTGTCAGGATGACGGGCCTTGCTTGAGGCGAAAAAACGCGAGGAACGGCACGGCCCGCGCCGAGCTAGTTTCACATCGTTTCCACCTAAACCTCAGTTCGTGACCGCGCGTGGTCGTACGATAGCGCTGATTTCCCCTTATGCTATTTTGAAACCACATCCAATTAGGGGGTGTAGACTGGGATGGTTGCGCTTGTCGTCGATCATGATTGACGACATACGGTCTCGAACGCGTGTTTCCCATTGTTGTATACACTTCGGTCGATGTTGCGTTCGATCGTGCCGGCGGCTTCGTTCTTGTGGTGATTGTGGATTTGGACAGGCGTCGGAGACACTCGAGCGCAGTGGATGTAGTTATGCTTCAACCAGGTGTTCGATGGTGTTCAATGTCGCGCGAAGGTCGAAGATAGTCCCTGTCGCATTCGTGTTTTATCCCTCCTTCCTCCTTTCCCACTATTGCTCTTTGCAGGATCGTATTCGTCCCTTGTCATCTTCAAATTGTTAGCGTTTTAATGTATCGGTCACTATTACGGTTTCCGTGACACCAGTTGCATGTGTGTGATATGTGTCATTCAGCTTTGTGATTGACAAGCTGTACCACTGTTTGAAGCTGCGTGTCCCCTACTTCGGTCGGTGGACACTAGAAGAGCCGCAACCTCGGGAACGGCATAACGTAGCACACCGGAGTGTCCACGCTTGTCCTCCTCTCGTCCAGTCTGTCGCGACAGCCCATTCTTTGTTCGGATCGGGTTGTAGTATAGACTCGGTCGGCGTACTCATATAACTTGCTCGCGAACGCTCAATTGAGGTCATATCATCGGTCGCTCGGTTTCGTAGTAGCGCCTGTCACAGTCAACTGTCACTGGGCCGTCTGGCCTTCCGTATACGGCGCTTCTGCCATGGGCCTCTTCCTCTGGTGGTAGACAATGGTAGTTGCTCGGGTGTAGGTAGCTGAAGGGAGAAAATGTATGGCTCCTCACGAACACACTCGTTGAGCAGCTGTGTCGCTGCTAGTAGACCACCGGAATTAAGTGTCTTCGGTGACTATCGGGCGACGAAGACGAAGGAGTCGAGGTGGAAGTAGGGGGCTCGTTGACTGTTTGGTGGAGGAGTGAATGTGTGCTCGAGAGGGATTTTGGAGCCGTTCTTGCTTTTGGGACTTTCGGGGCATTTCTGCGCCGGTCAGTGGCTTCCCGTCGCAACTTCCGGTGCCCCATCGTCAGAGCTCGCGTTTACCCGTTCGGTTCCCGCTCTCGTTCACGCCGCTGCCTCTGCCATTGCCGAACAAAGAAGGAGTGTCGCCGAGTTGCGCCAGCGCGCCAGAATTCGGGTTGGTTGATCTGTGTCGCATTTGTTGATCGGTGGTTTACCGGAGA